AAAGGGTTCATCCCCATAGTGTACTTGTAAGGAACTATGAGGTATCATCTCTTCTGACAAATCATTATAATATTCTTAACTAAAGACGTGGATCCTAAGAATATTATGATTTCAAGTCGTTTAGGCGTTCGATTGAACAAATCATACCCAGCTATATATATTCATATGGTATGCTTACAAGGAAGTTTAAACACATTTTTTACTCTGAATTTTTTGCATATCATCCATTATGTAAGAAAATACATTTAGATACGGAAAAATTTCTCCCCAACTAGAAGATATAATTGATGTCTTCCCTCACATGGCACATGCTTCAGAGTAAAGACTTGTATTATAAAACCGAATCTTACAATAGCGAGGAACAAAGTAGCTGTTAATTGAATGTACATTGTAATAGTTTTTGGCAAAAATGAGACAACAATTTTTTCCATTTAGTCGATACAGTTATTAACTATGTATTATACAAATCTGTCACGGACAAATTATTCTTCAAGAACCTGAAAACAGGTTATCACTAATCAATTGTTTCCAACTTTTGAATTCTTGCAGACAATAAATGAAAAGAATACCTTTTCAGAAAAATTCCACTGTTTGGTTATAGTGGAGCACACACGTACATATATGTCAAACAACTTTAGAAAAACTATATGTTTTAGTAGTTTAATACTTGGACAAACCCTTTTCGTAGCAAACGATAGAAAAGTTAGTAAGCCGACTATCTATATAAGAGGGATACACTAAAACATATTTGACAGCGTTAAATATTTAGAAAACCATGAAATTTCTAATAAGTATTGATTCTACAGTTGAATTTGTTTTTTTTTTTGATAATACCGGTCGGTTATGATCTGATTTATCAACGTTAATCACAAATAACATTCAAGTTTCATTTACAGTTTTAGCTAGATATATGCTTACTTAGAAGATACAGTGGTTTTTTTTTACTTTTGCATATACACATCATACAATATTTTGGAAACGTATAGATGAGAATGAAACAAAAGTGCTCCAATCAGAATCAACAAATATTAAAGTGAACTCACCAAATTAAAATGTTCAGGTTTGATGCAAGTCTAGTTGTAATATGTAAATAAGTTCACTGATGCTATGAAGTATGGCACAATAAAAAAATTGAAAGGACAAAAATATTTCTGACGAGTCTATAGTATTGTGCGAGTTTGAGAAATGTCTCTCTAGTATGTTGTAGAAAATTTTTATAAATTTTATGTAAAGTTTGAAATCGTTCTGGAATATATCCTGAAACGTATTAAAATGAGTTTCCCTGTATCTCAAATTTTTTGAAGTTCTGTTTAAAACCTAAATTTCTCAACATTCATAGTATGTGTGGCAATCTTTATTAGCTCTTACTTACGAAAGTTATTCTCTTCCACTAACATCATCTGTCTCAAACAAAATTTAAAAAGATCATGCAACTCAGTGTATGTTTATGAGCGGGCAAATTATAAAAATATACAACAAATGATTTTATACCATCGAACAAAAGTCTTTCTCTTCTTTTTTACACTCCCATACTTGACATAAAATTTATTACTGAGTAAATACATGACTTGAAATTTTTATTATAGTATGATCGATATACCAAAAATGAAATAAAACTTTCATGTCATATCTATACCAAGTAATAAATTTAATGCAAAGTTTGACTGCATAATAAGATAACGAGGAGAACGGTTTTGTCTGGGTGGGTGCATCTTAAAAGGCAATCTATATATAACTTTTTCATATATATCTTATTCCTAAGAAAGAGTTAAACAACATGTTTGAAAATTAAATGATCAATCTAAGATCTGAGGTTGGTGTACGTGTACTGTTTATTTATCTATTCGGAATTTGATGGACTAGAACATAAGTAATCACTATATAAAAACGGTCAACAAATTTTGATAGAAGCTTACATTTGAGACACTATATCTTAACAAAGATTTAAATGCACATCTTTGTGTATCTATTACAGCCAGATCATGAGAAGTTCTACAAAATACAAAATATAAAACGTAAATTAAAACCCTGAGAGAATGCAAGGAAGTACGTGCATTATTGACCAGTGATATTTTTTACTATATTGTGTCAAAGTTCTTGATTTTACTATAGCCTAAAGAACTTCAAGAAGTTCGAATCACTTGCAATATAGTGTAAATACATAACACTGAATAATTATGTATTGACCAATAAATGTCACTAGAGGCTTAATTGAGAACATAGATTTTACTTGTATCGGCGTAGGGTGTGGGTATATATCGTCTTATCATTCACATAAACATTTACACCTACATTCATACTCTACAGCTCATCGTTTACAAGCTATCAATATCTTTCAAATATTGAAACAAGTTTTGCATTTGAGTTCGTATATTTGTGATCAATTATCAAATGTAGAGAACAGTCTGTCAGTCAAACCATATAAGCAATACTGGTTCGACGGCTACGTCATTTTGCTGATGCATTCATGACTTCAAACGTACAGTATATGGTGTAATACAGCACTGAACCATTAATGTGAAATTTTTGTTTTATTTGGAGGATATTACCATCTTTGCATGTGAAGAAAATCCAGTTATTTTAATAAGAAAGTCATTTTTATTTTTATTTCTTTTCAACAAGAAATTAATGTAAGTAACGACAACAATATTTCAACGATGCTATTGCTGCCACCACTCTATGATAGCAGCCAACAGTTTTTATTATTTATTTATATATATGGGTATAAAAATAAGCAAAACACTTCGTTCTTTACGAATATAATAACTTAATCTATTGTCGTTACGATTGCATTAGGGACGGTAGTAGTTTTTCTCAATGCATTGAAATTCATTTTTGACAAGACAACACTGAGAATCATCAAGGGTATGGGTTTTATTGAATAGAAGAGTCGCACTGATATTCACTTAAAAAATATTATATTACATTAAAATGTGTTTATTTCAATAGATGACAATACAAGTAATGAGTTTTCTCCAACAACTAAATGTCAACTAATGATTTAAAAACAATTTTAATTATAATGATTGTTATAAAGAAAACGGCAACATGTCATCTATTTTGCTGTTCTTTTCTTTTCAGAATTTCTGAAGTAGTTGACAAAACATCGTAAATAAGCAGTAGCCTGTCATCATTCTTTTTCTGGTTGTTTTAAACAATGCTCTATTTTATAAAATAATAGAATAACACAGAATTTAATAGATCAGATTTGATTGTGAATGTGAATAGAACTTTCTCAGAACAACATTCACAATCATCAGCTATCCTCAAAAATAACCTGTAAATACAGTCATTTTGGTTTCGTCAGTAGAGGATATTTTATGAAGATTTTCATTCACTTTTAGTTGATACAGTCAACATCACTTTTCCAAATTTACATTCCTGAATAGGAAAAAATTCTTTATGAGAGTTAAGTAATTTTTTCTTGTTCATCAATTCATCATTAATGGGAAGTGATAAACGTAAGTTTTATTTTCTTGAGCAACCAACAATGACATTCAGATTCAATCAACAAAATGCATACAGTGGAATATTCTTTGACAGAACGTTTAAATTCTGATGTGAACATGATAGACTGATGGCATAGTCTAATTTTACCATTTTCGATTATATTGAAAATTCAATTTAATTTTTGTCAAATATAATTTCAGTTCTTTTGATAAGAATGAATCGAAAGAGCTATCCAAGCACTAATTTTAAAGCTGAAAACGTCTGTTACTTACTCATTTTTAAAATAATCTTCAAATTATTTTTCATTCATATTTTCTAGATAGAAAAATTGTTGATTGAAGGTCGAATTTTGAGAATTATCCTAACGAGAATTATTTTTAGGCTCGCGAATTTCTTTTGTTTTAACTCAATACTATATTATTTATAAAGTTCTTCTTTGCTTTTAGTATGATTACAAAAAAAAATCATCGAGTGAGGAAAACAGCAATGAACATTCATTAATGAGAATATCATGAAACAAATGATTCAAAATAGTCAGGCTTGAAGAAAATGCCACTTTCAAGCGTTTCCAGTTGAGAAACTCATTTTGAAAAATATCATTTTTTCTGTAATGAATATGACAAAACTCAGGTTTTTTCCGATTGGCGCACTAGAACATACGTGTAGATATGTTACCTTTCTTGAGAGTATATTCCAGAAGCAGTGTCCTATTCTAAAGAGTATTGTTCGAGTATATCTATCTGCATAAGTTCTATTGAGTTCGAAGAATATATTCATAAGGTCTCTATTCTTACTATACCGAAATATGATATAAATCACTCAATATTTATTCTGAAATATTATATGTTTTTATTCTTCCTTCAACTTTTGTTTTTTTATACTGTTTATTTTTTTTTTAATGAGGCAATTTTGGTACAATTTAGTTGGAGATTATTGCAAAGCTTGGTGGAAAAATACAAAAAAAAGTCAGAGTAGCAACAATGATAGAAGGACTCTTCGAATCTAATGAGTCTTAGTCCAATAGATAAGATAGACATCGCTGTTTCAAATCATGAAAACCATAGTTCAGTGGACTATTTGTATCAAACATATGGATATAGCTTATTTTTCTATCAAAAATACATTTGTATTTTCATAGAAATTTTGATTTATAGCACTGACGACAAAAAAAAACGATGCGAGAAAAGCAGAATTTGTAGAAGAAGATTTTCTATACAAGTACTTCTGAAATCAAATAACACGGAAAGACTTTAAAAACCAATTGTATGATTGCTGATTCACTCGATTTATGGAAGGAAAAGCAAGTTCGAAAGAAAACTGTGATATGTTCATCCTAGAGCACAATGCGTCACATATAGTTTGAGTTGAGACATCTTCTTTTATATTTTAAGGTTTATTGACAGGGTCTGTGTTGAACAGGTTTTTATGCTAAATACGATATAATCTATTCTCATTATTGAATCTGTTATTCAAGACAGAGAGAGCACATTGTTTCATATTATTTGTTTTTAGTGTGTTCTAAAGACAGTTACTGTGCAGCATTCGTAGTCATGCGTATACATCCTATTTGGCAATTATGGTATAATCTGCTACGTGAGAAACTCGTAAAACTCAACCTATTCGACACACAATCATCAGATTCAAATATTGTTCGTCGTGAAATTCTTACTACTCGTCTCTTTCTTATTTTATTAGCCGTCTCTGCGATTATTCTAACTCTATATACTTCTCTTAGTGTACAAATTAGCACTGGTTTTGTATCATCACCGACCCAAGTTGTCTATAGAAACCTAGAAGAAAAGTATCCAGACACATTAAAATGTCCATGTGAGAAAATTTCAATACCGTACAAAACATTTGTTCAAACAGTACCATTAATGCATCAAGTTTGTTCTAGTCCTTTTGTTTCTCAATCGTGGATTGTGTTTACTTTTAAAATCAATAATTCAAGACTTTGGCCTATGGATGTAAGAACACAATTAAGCACAATATGGCAACTTATTTCGGCTCTTTGTCAAAGTGCAACTAACACAATTACTCATGTACTTAATGAATTTGTCGAATCATCATTAATAAGTTTGACGATATTATCTGAAAATTTATTAAAAGCAAAAACTCAAGCTGCTCTTGATTTAGTACGACAAAAAGCATCATCGGCACTTATTCGACCACTTACACTCATTAATCGAATTGCACAAACGAATCTATTCATGACAGCTTTGTCAACGAATTATATCACATTCTTATGGTATCAATTTGAGCTAAAGAAACTAGCTGTTAGTTTCATCGAGACCTATTATATACTGAAAGGATCGACAAATAATTGCATATGTCTATATAATGAATCATGTCCTATAGCAGGCAATGTCTTTTTCTATGATCCATGGGACACATATGGAGTCTTTGATATGAATACAATTATTGCCAATCAAACCTTACCTGGTCTTGTGTTCGATTGTACACCATTACAAACGACACTTGGTTCGACGTTAGAATGTTTCTATAATCAGTCATGTCTTGATATTCTTCTCATGACTTATCAAAATACTATAAATATCTCAATACTTGATAAAGCTCTGCCAAGTCGTTTTACACCAGCATCAACCATCGATATACTTATTAATGAACTTTTTATTGAACAAATTCTCAATGAAACTAATTACAATTCATATTATTCTCAATGTGCTCCTGTCTATTGTAGTTATACTTATTCACATCGGTTTGATTGGATTTATGTTGCAACAACTCTTATAGCCTTTCTTGGTGGACTCAATGTAGCATTGCGTTTAATAACACCATACTTGATTGGCCTTATTTTATTTTTGAAGCAAAAAAAGTACAAACAGAACAAGTCTAATAATAATGAGAGTAAGATCCTGTTTTTTTGCGCTTTCTAAGTTATACAATCATCTCATTTGCATGATTTTCTTTTGAAAGGATTACCAATTCAAGTTCATCTAAAAATTTTGTGTCAAAAAGTTCAGATGTCAATCATAAATTTCAACTTGTTCGACAATCATTCGCGCGATCCATTCGAAATAAAACGTGATCGTATCGCAACACGTGTTTTTATTTTACTCTTCGTGATAGCAATTAGTGTTCTTATAATTAATACATCGATATCGGTTCAAACTATTACTAATACTATACAAAATCCATCACAGATGCAATATGAAAAATTACTAGAGCGATATTCAACTACACTGAAATGTCCATGCAATATTATATCAATCCCTCATAAAGAATTTATTCAAATTACTCCGATATATCATCAATTATGCGGAAGTGATTTTATTCAGTCATGGTGGTACAATAGTCTTTCTGTTAAAGGAGCTGATTATATTCCGGGCAATTTCGTTTTCTTTGCTGCATCTTATTTTCGAACACTAGCCATGTTTTGTGAAATAGCAGATTTGACTATTGTCGATGCAATTCGCCGTTTTTCTTCAATAATGTTTGTAAATGCGCAAGTTATTTCACATAATTTATTTGATTCGAAAACAAAAGATATTATAGATACATTTATAAACTCGACTCGTGCAGAATTCGCAAATAGTTTATCATTGATTAATGAAGTCGTTCATGCTAATCAATATATAAGCGGTATGTTGACAAATGGTGGTCCTGCTATAGTAAATGTTTCTAGTTACATAACATCGGTGGAGAATCCTTACCGCATTGTTTGGTTCAATCAAATCGGTCTAAAAACAAATAATCAAACATGTTCTTGTGGTATTGATCCTGAATGCGACAGGGGACTCCTTGGAATCAACGTTTTCCGTACGATTCCGGGAATGTATATTCGTTGTTACATGTTGGACTCGGTACTTCAATCATCACTGTTGTGCTGGTATAACAATAGTTGCTTTACCAAGTTTTCCACCAGTGTTCTCTTCACGCATACACATTATCCTCAAAATCTGACTGTGCTTGATTCTATGTTGCCGAGTCGATTTACTCCAACTACTCTTCTACAAACGATTGCCAACGAAGTGATGGTCGAACAATGGAATTCATCAGCTTTATATGATAGCTTTTATCAAAACTGCAAACCTGCATACTGTTCGTTTACATACCACGAAAGAAGTAGTATGACGTATATTATTACTACAGTGATAGGTCTCTTGGGTGGTCTCAAGATTGTTCTTCGATTACTATGTCCTTTTGTTATAAAGCTTTTTGTCACACGTATCAATGCTGATACATCAGGTAATAGATCATTGATATGCCATGAACACAAGTTCACTGATCATAAGTGAATAATTCGTTATCGATGAATTCCATCTAAGAAGGATGAAGTGAGAGTTAGAAATCTTCGTCTAGTTTTATTGTATCATCACTTGAGACCCCTATTTCATTATCGTTATAGCAAAGAGTCAAGTACGAAAACGTGAGATTTTTGTCGTATTGTTTTGGTTATATTATAACAAAAAAAAACTTGAAATAGCAATGCGTGCAAAGTCATGTTCTAAGCTAATTTCAGTTGATCGTGATAAATAACAAAGAGAACGTCATTTTCTGTAATGTACCCGTTTCTTTTTCTGTTAATTGGTTCGATATTATAGCATAAACAGCTCTTTTTATTAGATCATCAAGAGGATCTTTTTGAGAATACAAAGGAAACATTTTTAATATTTTTCATAGTGTATACCGAAAGTAAAATGTTGACTTCGACTAAGTATCATCGAGCAAAATTAATTTACAGCAGATCACACTGACACTTAACATACAAAATGGTTCGTCCAATTCAAATAACTCAAAAAGATTCGCTCAGATATTTCGATCTGTTTTATCCCTGCTAGCAAGATGATTTACTAGTTAAACAGATTCAATCAAATTTTATTTTCAAATATAATGTTATCGAATCAAAATTTGTAACAGAACTATAGTACTTTTGCATCAAGTTCAAGATGATAGGGTATTTGTTATAGGAGACTATGGACTATTTAATAACATCATTACTTAATATAATGATCGAATTGATTTTATAGAAAGAATTACTAAAATGTGTGACGTAGTTTTTATTAAGTTTTAAAATTTATTGATTTGACTTAGATAAGAAGTATGTTCAACATGAAAAATAAAGTAACTATTAGCTCTTCGCTACTTTTGTCAGTAAGTTGAGCCAAATATGTTGAAATGTTTCTGCTAGCTGGAATTCTAACTAGTATTATCTATTGGATAGATATTGTAGAAGACAATATTAGATAATGTATGCATGCAACGAAAAAAATGTTTTTACAAAATCAATTTCGTTCTCTATTTTCTTAACGATAAGCCCTACCCTTTTTTCTAGATTTTTTTTTTGAAATGAAAATCTTGTTTTGAGCAAAAACATGAAATAATCTACATAGTTTTCGCTAGTTTCAACATGTCAATTTAATTTCTTTCTGAATTTTTTAACGCTTAAAGTAGATACTACTTGAAACTATATAGTCACCACAGGCAACAATTTGAGAGAGAAAAAGCAACGATAATATAAAATATATGGTGACAATCAGGCAAAGTGGGGTCTACAGTCCTGCTATTTGACTGCCTTTCTCACCGGAGGCTTTTTTTATGCTAAGTCATTTTAGCATAGACTTATATAAAAATATTTCCTGTTTAATATGACTATTAATTAAAAAGTAATTAGTGAATATCTCCCTAACCGTATTGAGAAAAAAGTTTGAAATGTTCAGAATAGACTGAGATCCGAGTTGCATCTAAGAAAAAATTCTCCGTAAGATCGGATACAAACAAGTTTCTTTCAAAACTTGATCCTGTGAAGATCCTCTCCAGTATAAAAACGAAAAATGTTGTCTTATCATAATCTATGGCCTCTAAAGCTCTGTAGCACTAATTTTTTTAGGGTATCTAAACAAACTTAGCATTCATGTAGTATATAAAAATTAGGTTTAGAAAAGCTCACTATTCCGAAACATATATATTTTAATTTTACGAAGTCACGTCCATAACGAATGATTTTGCCCATACATTCAAAGATGATTGTCTAGAATGAAAGGATTTCCGGAAGGAGATAGAAACTCAAAATTCCAATTCAAATATTCACTTATGATTTTGTAAATGAATTTGCCAATATAACATGACTAAATAATTGTTCAAATGAATCATTTTAGAAAATCGTCAAGCTTGTTGTACTATACATGGTTTGTGGACACGAATTCGAGACAAACTTATCTCATTAAATTTATTTAATAAAGGATCGACTGAAAATCAAACGATTCGATTTGAACGCTATTCAACTCGATTTTATCTACTTCTTCTGTTTATCAATATACTCACTCTAATGATCTATACGATTTTATCAAAAGAAATAATACAGCCAATACTCTTACTACCGACACAAGCTCATTACGAAGAACTATTATTTTCGCATTCTAATACACTTCAATGTCCTTGTACTCATATTTCTGTTGCATACAAAAACTTCATCACCGTCAACACTACTTTCCATCAAGTATGCTCAAGTGACTTTGTCAATAAGACATGGATAGATTTTCTATATGGGGACGGTTTCTCGGGTTATCACGAAAGATCTGATCTTCGTATTCGTGGTGCTGCATATTTTGGTTTTCTAGCAAAATTATGCAAACTTTCACAAACAACTATTAAAAATGCAATTGATCAATTTTTAGAAACATCATTTATAAGTAGTCAAATAATGCCTCAATCACAATTTAATATTCAGATGAATGAAACTACTAGTCAATTTGAAACTAATACACTGGTTCAATTTTCTCATGTCTTGCAACTTACACGTGATGTAATAGACAAGAACACTTTCATATCTACTCATTTATTAAATTGGCATTGGTCTGTAAATAGCATCGATTTGTATCAGACCATTCCGGCAGAAGCTATCATGCTCAATAATGAATGTTCTTGTGGAGTAAGAAGTGATTGTTCAGAATCTGGTGGTATCTATACATCATTTTCTAATATTAAAAATTTTACAATGCCTGGAATCAATGTAAGTTGTTCGGTAGTCGAAACATTGATGCAGTCAACATTCGAATGCTTATACAATCAAACATGTATTGATGAATTCCAACACTATGCTACAACAGTACCTATTGTTATTTCCAATGCAACAAATGTAACAGCTATGAAATCTATGTTGTCAAGTCGTTTTTCATCACATATAGCAATTCGTGATATTGTTGGCGCACTTTTTATCGAAAAATTGCAAATCAATTTTTCTTATTCTGCTTTCTACCAACGTTGTACTCCGGCATATTGCTCTTACACATTGGTGAAGTATCACAATGTTCTATATGTTGTTTCGAGAATTTTAGGTTTGTATGGCGGTTTAACTGTTACTCTGAAATTAATTGTTCCGCACCTAATTCACATATATTTCACGATAAAAAATCGTTGCTGTAAAAATACCGTTGCCTCCAGTGCTTAGCTTTATCCGATCGCATAGACTATGCTTATTAATTCTCTCTTCAATATATAGGGTGTCCGAAAAGTCACTAAAGTTAGAAAAATTTGAATATCTCCATTATGGCTCTAGCAAACCAGCTGATTTTTTACCGGAGATAGAGGTATGTTGACACTCCAAATCTATACGGACAAGGTTAGAGCGAAACCAGCTTTGTTAAGAATATTGTTTTTTTTCCTATCTGTGAAAAAGTAAAATTTTCTTATTAAGGTTAATAGTGATACTTAATAAAGGATCTCAATAATTTTGTCCGTATCAATTTGGAATGTGAACATGTCTCTATCCTTGGTAAAAAAATGAGTCCCTTTGGTGGAGCTCTAATGGAGATATTCAAACTTTTCTAACTTTAATGACTTTTCTGACACCCTATATGTCAGTAATAAAGAAAAGTGTTTGCTAATTTTAAATATTATAAAACTTGTTAAAATAATTTCATCAATGCCGACGGGAGCATGGCCAAAAAGTGGTATATGATTGTATACTTCACTTATTGTCTGATTGACCCATTTAAATAAATGCTTAATGTTAGAATTCTGTATAGTTGAAATTCTATTCAGACTGCAACTGAGAATATATTTCATTTAACATGCGAATAAACTGAGGGTGGGATGTGGGTGTGAGTTTATATCTCTGCAGCTACATCCACACCGTTTGACCAGTATTTTGACAAAAAAAAACAAACTGGATTTAGCCCGTATGTATTATATAACATTCGATGTGCTTTTTCATTCTCTACCAAACCATATCGTGTCTCTTAGAACTAGATAAATTGGCTTATTCGCCATGGTCCTTTGGCATTTTTCGTATCAACAATGTCGATCTATATTTAGCATTTTAATCAGAATTCAGTCAATCCATCAGCGAAAGAAAGATGGGATAGGGACAGTTGCTAGCTAGAATAGATGCTCGTCAGATAGTTGCCAGCGAAACAGGTTACTGATCGCTGTTGGACAGTTTTCGGCTGGTTTTGTAGAAAAGGCTTACATATAAACAATAAAACTTGTACTTTATTTATTGAAAATTATATATCTGTGGGGCGATTGTCTGAAGAAATCAGTCTCGTCCATCCATAGTGCTCGCTCATTTTGCGTAGAATGATTGAGAATAAATGCAAGTTTGAATTTCATAAATAATATCTTAAATTTGTGTTGTCGTCTGTTATTGACAGATTCTTGCTGAGTTCCATGGAGCGAGCAACTGTCCTAGACCCAAGAAAGATAGATCAAATTGTCCGGAATATTCATCCTCTGCAAAAATTTAAACACGGATCATTCTTCTCGCTTACTTTTGCAGTACAATATCTACAGCCATTGTACTACTGCACAATCATCGCTCCAACTCATAACACTGATTTATTGCCAGCAGTTGTACTGTTATTACAAAGCTTTTAATGCTTCTGGAAGATGTAGATAAACATGATCCGAATTTCTATCTCGCTTTGTCAATGCTGCAAGCTTTGTTTAAAGAATATATGTTGGAAAACTATGCTTAAGGAGAGTGATGCCAATTTCCAATCACGGTGATGATAATGTACAGAAAGATATGAAACTTCTCTTGCTAGCAATTCTGAAGGAAGCAATCATCATGTCAGGGTTTTCTTAGTTAAGCCTTCATCATTTATTTTAATTTTAAATCAAAGAATGTTATTTAAAAAAGAAATCTACAAAATTTTGGAAAAAACTTCGGTAGACTTGTACAATAATGCAAACTGAAAAGCATGGAGAGCCGTTATTCAACCAAAAAGGATTGTTCCACATGCTATGCGAGCACCGGCATTTCTGAAAATTAAACGAAAGAGATGTCAATCATGGAAAGTGGTAACGGTCGAATAGCACTTACCCAGTGGTGTTGCTTTCACCCTTTCCCGTATGACCTCCGTCATCAGTCAGATTGTGGATCATGATAGGTAAACCAACAACATTTCGTGTCTTATCGAATCCGATCGAAATGACATTGTCACGCAATGCAATATAGGCTCTGCCATCAGCATTTGTTTCAATGTTGCCTAGATCACCCACATGTCGCTCTGAATCTCTCGGCATTCCATGAGACACATCTGTGATCATGGATAAAGTGCAAAGGTCATCATTGTATGTTGTAGAAATGTGAACTTACTATAGGGGTTGAAATGGGCACCACCAGCTGAACAATTATGATTGTCTCCAATGGGTAGCGAATGGATATGGAAACCCTAATACAAATTTAGCTGCTTAAGAGTTTTTCGTGAGGATTGTTGGGTACCGAACTTTGGCAATAGATAGCCCTGATGATCTGCTGTAAAAAAAAAACGTGTTTTACCTTGGAAATCTTTTGCTCTGACGTCTAAAAAAGGTCTCTCTTATCAGCAGCACTAACTACCCCTATTTACGATCTTGTTTGACTATACTATTTTTGTTATACTGGAAGCTCCAAATGAACGGTAATGGCTCATTGTTTCGTTCTTAAAACGTTCCTTTTTTTAGTATTTCAAATTCGCTTTCCATAATATTTCAGATAGAATTTTCAAACTAGTCTTGTTGGAAAGATCAGGTAAACGATTGTGGTACTAAATATTTTTATTGCGCTTCCTAGAATTATTTGATGAATTTTTTAAAGTATTTTTGAATATCTCGGATTTAGAGTTGAAAGTAAAAAAAAATTGGTACTACAATCGTTATACCCAACAATAATCTGTCGAACAAAACAGTTTCAATCTTGATATCCCACAATTTGTAAATGAGAGCTCAAAATGTTGGCCTTACTGGTAAAAATCAAAACAGTTTTTGATTCTTTCGAGAATTTAATTAGTTGAAATTTGGTGTTAATCGACTTTTTTCTTCTTCGAAATACAGATGAAGTCAAGTATAATAATATACCTACCAACACTACCGAAGGTCTCAGACGATTGACAGAACCGGAAATGATAACGCCCCATGCTTCTTCCTGCTCGTTGAAGCCGATCGTTCCGATAAAATCATTCGTTCCTGTAAGAAACATTTGGGCTTGAGCATATTTTCCATTAGCTCCCTTCACGAAAGAGATAACGAGTATCAGAAAAGTAAGAATGAATTTCATGGTTATTTATTCGAAAGTGCACGCGAGTGTTGCTTATATACTTTTCAGAGGAGAAGGAGAACAATGACTCCGCAAAAAAGTCTTATCTCATATAGAACATGAAAGAGTCATGTCTTCCTTACCACAGTGTCACTTTTGCTCTGCATTTGAGTCACAAGCGCATATTATTATGAAAAACTTTGTAGCATTTATTTGGACGAATTTTTCTTTTTTTATATAAGTTTTTTCAGCAGCCACACTGCTAACAACGCTACCCGGTACTATAGAAAGAGACGAGACGTATAAAATTAAAGGGAAAAAGAATAGTTTTTCTATCCAGTTTTTATCAAATTATACATACAAATAGAAGCCTGCAACCTTTTCTAAAACATCAGGAGATTCTACAGGGTAAGCTCCGAGAAATCAGACATTTTTTGTCAAAAATGTGTCTCTGAATATTCAAATAGAAGAACCTCTTTCTTTTGAAGAAGAGTTGTAGATGTAGGGCATTTGTTTTCTATTTTCATTGCTCGTCAATGATAGCATCGGACGAGCGCCAAGATAAGGTTTACTTGTTAGACGATTGATGCTGTTACTTGTCGTCAGATGTGGAATTCTGATGGATAAGAAGAAGCTGATTGACTGCGACGCAGACTGCATCCAGTGTATCACATGTTTCGAAGTTCACGACAGTTTACCCGCATGAGTCAGTGTAATCAATTATAGTCACTAGGACGCAAAGTCCCCATTAAGCACAGCCATGCCTCAGTAAAGACAAAAATGATCACATCATAGGCGGCGGAATCGGGAGTGCTCGGGGTGCTTGAGAGCAGAGACCATGCCACAGACACGCTCTCACAGCAACAGATTATCGAGTCGTTTTCAATGATATTCTAGCTCAATGAGGAGCTCGCTGATGCAAAGTGACTCCTTCTTGTATTCGCTGTCATCGCTTTCTGTGTCTACTGTCGACTAGTCGCTACATTCGCTGTTCGTCGTGCCTCTTCAACGCCAGAAGCTGTCACCACGGCTAGTTCGATCGCTAAATATTAAAATCAACGATTCCATAGTGTCAACGACAACTACTGTCGACGTCAAAACATAATGCCCTCGATATTTTTTGAATATCTCGAGCACGAAAGCAGCTAGAAACCTGCGATTTTCACCATTCGAAAGAGAAATGTGGGAGAAGTAAAACTCAGTGGAATTTGATTGGTCAATAATCGACTAATCATATGAATGCTCGTCGGACATTTTGAAGACTATCTAGGCAAACTATTTCTCATTAGGTTTTAGATTGCAAAATGACTATACGATACGAAAAATAGGTCTCTTTCGATCTAGACAAGACTGAACTTGCTAGCTTGCTTTGTTCAAGAGCTATAAGCATTTTCTTGAGACCCCCAAAATCGGTCAAGTAACCTTTCGTTATCCCAAAATATATTACAGCTGGGGTAATTGACCACGCTGAGTCTTGTGGTCATGTTTGTTTTTAGTTTCAAAGCAATCTGAAGTAAGCATATTGAGATTTTCAATAGAATCACTTTTCTTAATACGTGCATGAGAATGCAGATAAATCAAAAATTTTGATATAATGACTTCAGATTTCTTTGAAACTAAAAACAAACATGACCATAAGACTCAGCGTGGTCAATTACCCCAGTTGTAATCTATTTTAGGGTAACGGAAGGTTCCTTGACCGATTTCGGAGGTCTCAAGAAAATGCTTATAGCTCTTGAACTAATGCAAGCTAACAAGCTCAGCCTTGCCTAACTCGAAAGAGAACTATTTTCCCCATCGAATGGTCATATTGAAATCTAAAACCTAATGAGAAATAGTTTGCCTAGATAGTCTTCAAAATGTTCGACGAGCGCTTACATGATTGGTCGATTATTGACCAATCGAATTCCGCAGAGTTTTACTTCCCCCCACATTTCTCTTGCGAATAGTGAAAATCGCAGATTTCTAGCTGCTTTCGTGCTCGAGATATTCCAAAACTATCGGGAAGCATTTTATTTTGACGCCGATAGTAGTTGTGTTGAGCTTTGCCATCTGGAACACATAAACAAATTCTTTCTTGGCTCTTATTTTCTTCTTACTCAGACTGTTCTTGTCGTTCCTGTTCTATCATTCTCCGGTCTTTTACTCAGTTCCTTTATATCTCACCTCTCATGTTTTCTTCGGTTCGTTTCCTTCTCTTTTCTTTTTAATTCTCTTTTTTTTTCTGTCAATGAGTGTGGACGCTTCATTTTAAGCATCGAAGTGTGCTAGATGGCAGTGAAGATTCACATGGTTTGTCGAATCACTGTGCTGTCTCTTATTTACACGTGTAAACATATACACATAGACTCCTCCGTCATCCCATTGTTTCTTTATCTCTTCCCGCACATTCTCTTTGTTGTTTTATATGTACGATTCAGTTGTAATTCTATTTCGTCGAGAATAAACAACTTCTGCAGTTTACATCGCGCTGCATAACAATACAAAAAGGTATTAGAATATCACTAACTGTGTACTAGAGACAAGTTAGAAAAAGGAACTTGTCCTGTATTGAAGAATGCGCTTCTTGCACAAAGCTTCGAAAAAATCACGTTTGTAAAACCAGTATGACAAAGAATGTTGATCATACATATTATTTCTGTTGCACTCTTGAGTTGAAAATGCGTATCGAACGTGAATTTGTAGATCAAAAATTCTCTATAAAATGAGCCTAGAACCTAAGTGTTTAAACTAGAGATTACTTCTATTCAACATAAAATGAATAAACCTTCCATTCTTTCTTGTACTGAGTGAAAGTCTGAATGCAACTGTACATCTAAGAAGAAATTTGCAAGTCTGAAAGGGCTATTTGAAGTTTTTGTCCTTGAGAAACATCTTCATTCGTTACGTGAAATTATGAATTGTTGCACTCAATAATGAAGACATACTTATTTGAGGTCGATTTACACAAGACTCGATTTCATAAGTATACAACAGTACATCTAATGAATAAATTCTCTATTTGTGCTTCTTTGTTCAATAATAATCTCTAGTTGATTCATTTTTCCTCCAGTGTTTCAGTTTCTTGTTCAAAAGTGATACCATGACGCAGCATATTCAAGTAAGCCTCTGATCAAATGCATAAGATAATACTTTGATTAGGATTCTGACTTCAGTTTCAATGCTCGCATGATTTTGTCATTATTTATATGATATTATATACATGCTGGTATCATTTACGCTGGAAGATTTAATGGAATTTTAAATAACCCATTAGTCAAATGAGAAGTTGATAGAAGAGAGTATAGCTGTGAGGATAAGAATAAAGTTATTAACATTGTAATAGATGCACTCTACATTTCCTAGTTTAAGGTTTCTTCAGTCACATCCAGCCAAAAACGTCAATCTTAACTCTTCCGTGATGTTGGAATACAGATAAGTCAGTAAGCGCTATGATGATTCAATATACAGGATGGTCCAAAAGTTCTTTTACCACAGAAAAAATTGAATATTTCCGCCACGTTTTGACCAAATGAACTGATTTCTTCATCACTGATAAAGAATTTTTCATAGCTCATACTGATATGCAAAATATTGTCAAAAAAATGTTCAGTTGTTACTATCGACCTCAATAAAGAATTGCATGAGTTCTGTGAAAAACAATAAATTCTACTAGCCAAAATCGACTACTCACTTAATTTTTTTTATTCTTTTGATTAATTCTTTACAATATTAGTTTTCAAATTGTTGAGAAAAATGTAAAGCCGTCTCACAGGCTATTCACTGACTGGAATCAAAACTGTTTGTACTGCTTGTCATGCTATTATTTCTGCTTAATTTTGACTTTTTGGACGGTGGTTAGCTGCATATGACGGCAGTTTTCATATGAGAACACTTTAGGCATCTAATCGCCATCCAAAAAGTCAAAACGAAGCAGAAATGATAGTAGGACAAGCAGTACAATCAGTTTTGATTTCAGCTAGTGGATAGTCTCTGAGACAGATTTGCACTTTTCTCAACAATGTTGAAAGATAATATTGTAGAGAATTAATCAAAAGAATAAAAAATCAAGTGACTAGTGTATTTTAGCTAGTGGAATTTATCATTTTTCAAAGAACTTATGCAATTCTTTATTTAGGTCAGTACTGACATCTGAACAGTTTTTTCGGCAACTTTTGCCTACCAATATGAGCTATGAAAAATTCTTTATCAGTGGTGAGAAAATCAGTTCATTTGGTCAAAACGTGGCGGAGATATTCAATTTTTTCTACGATAAAAGAACTGCTGGGGAACTCTGTGTCTAGTTGATCAAATCAGATGTTGCGTTTCGTTGCTGAAAACTACAGATCAGCGTTATCTACGAACGAATATAAAAAGCTTGAAATAGGAAGAGACTTACTCAAACGTTGATTATGTACCAATTTCCGGTAGTAACAAGTTTGCTTGACCTTTTTAAGGTACTATGGACAACATCGAGAGAGCTGCCAACATGGCGGCGTTTATTATCTGGCACATTCTCTTGCCCGTTTTTGTTCTTGGCATTATTGGCCATGTGCTCAACTTCTACATATTAACTCGATCTAGTCTTCGTTCCTGTCCATGCTCTCTTTATTTTCTTGCATCGAATGTGGCCAATTGTATCGTAGTGTGGATTATGCTTCCTTTACGCATTCTGCAGAATGCGTACAATATTGATCCGGCCAATTATTCGGTATTGATCTGTAAAACAGAATATTTCTTAAATAATACTGCAAGGTGAGCAGGAATTGTTATTCTATAAAAATAACTTATTTGGCTCATTCATTGATCATGATGCTTTAGACTCGAATTCAACTAGAATTTCTAACTGTGATTTATGACAGAAATAACAAAAAAATATTCTCATATCTTGTATTCCTCGAGAAGAGTCTCAGTTTCTTTATAGATCGTACAAGAATATTTCAACTGATCGTTGAAGTCTGCCTGTTCGATGAATCGAAGACCTAGGCTTCTGTTTTCTATATCTAAATGACTGAGTCAATATCTCTGTTTCGAATAATATTGAGAATAAGTTCGAATAAGAGAGAGAATCATCATAAATGATAACCAAGCGATCCTACATATTTCTTATAGAACTCTGGCCTCCTGGTTCCTTGTTCTGGCCTGTATCGACAGATATTGTCGCAGTTCGCTCAATGTTCGACTTCGTCGCTTGAGCAGTGCATTTGTTGCTCGATGTGCCATTGCTCTGCTTCTACTAATCATGTGTCTAGCTCACATTCACGTGGCTATTTTCAATGTCATCGATATCGGTCGCATTGGTCCACCATTCAACTTGGTATCAGCCGTGTGCACCACCCAACAAGGTTTCTACCGTGCTGTTTTCTCTCTCTATTGGTTTTTCATTATCTATGCCCTATGTCCACCCATTCTCATGTTCATTTTTGGTCTACTTACTATAGTTAATATTCGTCAACGACGGCGAAGAATGTTTCCTACTAACTCAACAGTCATCACTCGCCCAAAAAGCAAAGACTACCGTCAAATGTTAGTCATGCTCATTGTACAGTGTACCGTCTTGATTATCTTAACTACACCCTTGGCTTTGCAACGTATATATAATGTGTCTACGGCAGCACAACAGAAGAGTAACGCACAAAAAGCAATGGATCAATTGTGTCTTACTCTCGTTATTTCGCTTGCCTTTGTTGGGCACGCAAGTAATTTCTATTTGTTTACCTTGACGAGTTCCATCTTTCGCAATGAGTTAATAAAATTGATCGACAAAATTCCAAAATGCAGTCACTTTGATGATGGCTCAGTTATGCAAACAATTAGCAATCAAGTTGGTACTGGAGGAGGACAGCAAGTTGCAGCAGTAAATGCACATTTTAATCTTGATTCTGAAGACAGCGTGTAACTGATCTCAATGTGATTCAACAAGAAAAACGCCTTCTAAAAACACTCGTCGTATGTCTGTCGCAATATATCCGTTGTATAAATCAATGGCAAATATTATACTTTGATGTTTGTATTCATGTGTAACTCTATATAACATAAAAACTGAATTATTTTAAATGTTATACAAAAAGAAATTATCACGACGACTTGGGATTTCTACCAGCGAATGGATCATCGGATGTTAGTGGAGACAGAAAGATCGTATTTGATGAATTCATCATATTGTTTCCATAGATGGAGAAAAATATAGATTCAGACTGAGAAATTGTTGACTAAATATCGCAAAACAACGTCTATCATTCAAACATAATGAGTTGTGCCTAATAGTGGTGAGCGAATTTTTGGCCGGGATGTTACAGTAGGAACTCAATAGCCCGGTGAGGCTCCAGCCTTCTAACTTTTCGCACGCATTCTGGTTGATTGGATGAGTGTGAGTGTGGGTGTGGGTTTGGGTGTGGGGTGTGGGTGGGTGCGCGAGTGTGGGTGGCAGAGGTGCAGAATCTTCCAAAAATCCAAAAATTTCCCCCCACGCAAAAAAGTTTTTTAAAAAATTTCCCCACTGTATTTTATTTTGGCCAGCGGGTTTTTCCAAAATTTCCCTATTTTTTTTGTTTTTCAAAAAACCCCCCCCCCCCCCCCCCCACCGCCCGGGGCGCATGAGGAAGATTCTACACCTCTGGTGGGTGGGTAGGGTGTGGGTGTGGATGAAGAGAAAACGACACCCACACCCTATTAGCTAAATTCAATGTGCTGAAACACAGAGTTTCTTAACGGCCCAGGCAGAGATTGCATCGAAAAAATGACATTAAAATGGCTCGGATTCGAACAAGAATAATGATGAAACACTATCACAAAAGCACCAAAAAATAGATTTGGCACAAGTTATTGAAATGGTTACTTTGAATTAAATGGAAATGGTTTAGAAGATAAAATTTTGATGTCTGACACAAAGTCCTTTTTTTGGCATTTTTTGTAACAGTTTTTCACCATTGTTTTTATTAATTTTCGAACCATTTTAAAACAATTTCACCGATACAACATCTGCCGTGATTGCACGATTTGATCGTTAGAAAATGAATTAAAGTGATTGTTTTTATCGTAAACATCATCACCGATTGTTACTAGAAGAGAGTATTAAAAACAAGGATGTAGGTGTAGATGTAGGTATGAATAAATAACATAGACACAACCACACTCATACATCCACAACCTCAATTGCACAAACTTTGGATTATACTTTTTTTGAATTGATCAAGATGTTTTATGGGCATGAAATAATTCTTCTGTGTCAAACATTCTTTGAACGTTATTAAGCTGATGGTTGTGTTGATGAAGATCAATTTGTTTTGATCTCCAAGCAATATCATGTTATGTCTTTTATGGCTTACCTGGAAACTCGATTAAATGCTAGAGTAGAAGATATAGAGATATAGAAGAGGCACACTGAGAAAAAGGTGCCATACGGAACCAACAAGAGTTTTGATTTTGCTACAAAAGTTAAAAATAGTTTCGTACATGATACGAAATCTAAAGGTTTCGATTTTTGTAATCAATTCGAAACCTTTAAAAAAGTTTTCTACATCGTTGCTAATCATTTTGAACATGTCTTAGATTTTTACGAAACCTTGCTTAAGGTTTCGATTTTTTGTAACAAAATGGTCTGGTGCAACATCTTTACTTTCTATCTATATGCTGACGTATACTCTAAACTATGATATAAAAAACAGGCCATAAACTGCGTCAAAAGTTGTTTGAAAAGAGCCGAAGACAAATAATTGATAAGCTTTTTTTCTCTTTCTTCTTAGACTAAAACTAAAGATATTGCCATGCGCTAAACATTATTGCGTCTTGGCATTAACTGATTCACCTTGAAACTTGAGATATAAATACACATTTATCTAATTTTTTTTTCTTCTACTTTCTTGCTCATTTATTTTATTAAAAAACATCATTTTTTATCATGTTAGCAAAACTTATTTTATTCGCATCTATTTCATTGCATTATGGTTATATGGGAAGCAAATATAGTTTTGGTGGCAATCCAAACGTTACTCATCTCACTCCAAATGTCTCCATTCCTAGAACAACCTTCTTGTATTCGACACAGATGGATTTGTTTTTAAACGTTTATCACCGTCCAGTCAATTCCACACATAAAGAGACATTGAAGGTGTTCAGTGGCAATACAACTCTAAACTCGACTGATCGTTGTATTGCCATGGGTATATCTTTCGATCTCTGGGGTCAATTACCAATACAAAATCCTGAAGAAACTGGAAACAGTGGTTGCGATGCACTTTGGGGAAAGGAATGTTCAAATAACATTCTTGCTAAATTGATAAGTTCGTTTGAAAATATCGAAAATTCAAGCTGTGGAGTTCCAATACCAGACATTCAATCAAAACCTCCTCCAGGTTGTCCAGTAAAGAATTCGTCTGGTAGTGGAATAGGTAGTATAGCATTCCTTCGTAATGGTACTTTTATGCTAGGTGAGTCAGGACCAACAGATCCATCAAAAGCATGGGTATATTTTCAAAGTGATCCTTCAGTCAATGGTGATTATGATGAACTTATGAAATATTTTGTCTTCACATATTTTGCTGGTCGTTCTTATTCATCAGGCATGATCGACGCTACGATTTCTTGCATGTCTGTTTTTAATAAAACCATAGGCCCAGATGGTGAAAACTCAGCGCCACAATTGACCGTATCTGGAAACATTTTGATTTTTGTCTCTTTATTCGCTATTTTCTTCAATATCGGTTTTTAGTTTGCACTTTATTTTTCGATGTACTACAATATACTAACTATAACTACCTGAATATTTATAATAAGAGTGATTAAAAATGATAAATTGACATTAGTAACTTCATAGCAACTTATTTTGTGATTTATTTATGAATAATAAAATAATATTATTTTTATCAGCTATTGATATCGTCTAATAGAATTTCAATAAACTTCCTTTAGATTCTAGGTACAAACTTGAATCTCACTTAAACTTTAGAGCTAAATACAAAATATTTACATTTTCATTAGCTTTGATCATAAATTAAAAATTCAATTAATTCTCTCTCATATTTGTTAAATCAAATTTAATATTTCACAGATTGTATTCATAACAAGAGCACTGATTATATTCAAACAAATAGAATTAAAACTTCTGGATATTTTTTTATGATTTAACAAATGTACTTTAACAGAAATAAATTTTCTCTAGTTGACATCATTATTTCTTTTTCAGTAGAATTATTGAATGAAGTTGATGATAAATGACATGATATCAATCATATTGTATTATTCATTAAATAAGCATAGATTGTTTTTCAGGAAGAATAAATAGATTCAATTATTTGAAATCATGCCTTTTTAAAAAGAAATAAAAAAAAGAGTTAATAGATGAACAAATATGATCTTTTTAATCAAATATTCACACTATCTAGAAATAAGATTTTCAAAATTATTCAAAATCTAAAAAAAATTCTGCAATATTGTTTAAGATTTATTATGTTTTCTTTTTGATTTATACTTTGAGCAGGATGATACCGGGCTCTTTTCTCGTATCAGTGAAAAAACCAGCGAATAAGTGGCTGAATGAGAACAAACATATAATCTATAGATTGATTACATTATTTATGATAGTTTTGATCGATTTTCTGCAATTCTACAAAACCTGAAACGTTTGTTATTTTCATATGGTTGAATAGACCATTGATGGTGTGGGTATGAGTGTGGATGTGAATGAAGAGAAGAACGACACCCACACCCGCACCCTCCATGAGATGAGCCATAATCAGCAATGATGAGGGGATCAGATGAAGGTGCAATATCGAGCATGTCAATTGCTTCTCGAATGAACGAGATCATCTCTTTGACAGTAGTCATTTGAAAATGACAGTTCTCGTTATATGATCCAGTCATGACATAAGTCGTGCCCGTTGCCGTCGTCATATTGGCTTTGCACAGAGGAAGTCAACAGCCATCTTTTAATTTTGTCTGTTAGAGAGGCACCAAGCATACTATGTAAGTGTGTGTCGATAAGAGTCAGGCAGAGTGGTAGACAAAATGTATTTACTGGCGATAGAAAGAAGAACATAGTGGACAGTCTTACTTCGTAAAAGATGTCCTATCTTTCGCATAAAAACGCGGTAGCCAAAAAATGAACGCTGTCTAACGATATTACAACAGAGTTGGAAGAGGATCGGCAAACCGGACTAGACAGACCGATTGACGCCACTTTTGCCAATTTTTTGTCGATTTATCATACTTCAATGAGGTGGTTTGGTTAGAAAGGATTTAATCAGTTCGAACTTGATGTGTCATATATAAAGAAGAGCGTTTAAGGAACCAATAGTAGGCCTTTAGCAACAAAAGACAATGAGAAAGAAAAGAAAACTAATCAGCAAGAAACCTATAGAACGCAAGAGAAAAATTATTTTTTAATATTTTTCTCCTGCGTTCTATAGGTTTCTTGCTAATTAGTTTTCTTTTCTTTCTCATTGTCTTTTGTTGCCAGACGCTTTTTTTTTCAAATATCACCTATCTTTTCCTTTTCTATTCTTGTTTTTCTCCTCCTCTTCTCGCACACAGATTAGAATATCAATATAAAGGTAAGTATAAAGCACATATTTTCATACTTCATTTACCCTTGTCAGAAGAGAAATAACGCACAATATTTCAGTTCGTGTCAAGGAGACGGAAAATGATGATTTTTATGAGCCATTAACGAGCAATTAAATAGTCATTTTTTGACTTTATGATCATTTTTCTGTCATTTCAATGATCAATTTTTAAGGTTATTATTTCACCACTTTTTAATGATGTAGAAATGACCTGAAAACGATGATTCGCAGGATCATTTTTACGTCATACAACAATCATGCTTTGATTAGTTGAAAAGCGTAAAAGTTGTCAACATATGTCCTTTGAAAAACAATGAAAAACTTGAGATAGCTGACAATCGGGATCCAATCTACGGCATCATAGAGTTTAGAGTCTGTTACTTTAACCATTGAGCTATTCCAATTTACAGATATCAGTGCATACATCTGCATATATAAGAATGCACTTCTAAAAATACTTTGAAGTATTTTTCAAAGAGCTTGGACAGTTTTTAAGAATAAGTTTTTGAGAAAGTGTCATATAAGGAAAAAAAAGTTTTCAGATTTTGACGGCATTTATATTAGAAATGCAGGACGGCGTCCTGAGTCTATAAAAAAAAACTTTGTAACTATTCGACTTTATTTGCGGAACATTTATTGTCAACAAAGTTCAAAGCCGACTTATGACTCAAAATGAAAATTGGTTTCTAGTTTTTCACCTAGAGCTTTTTCGAAAAAGTTAGGTGGCCATTTGATTCACAATTATGTGTTTATTATTGACAGGCAATCAGACCATCGATGTCAGCAGAACTGATCAGCACCTACAATAAACTTTATAATGATGCCATTCAAAAAATCAGATCAGATCAATATGAAACGGATGATCTGATAGATTCACCATTTGACAAAAGACTTGGCGTAACACTTTTACTCAGACCGGATGAACATGTGAGGCATCGAATTCTGAAATTTCTTGCTGCTTTACACGCAATTGAACCGGAGCAATATTATTATCCGTCTTCCGATATGCATGTCACTGTGATGTCGATCATCTCTTGTTATGAAGGATTTGATTTAAAGCAGATTGCAGTTCAAGACTATATCGATCTCATCCATAAGTGCTTACCATCGCAAAAAAATATTGAAATCAGATTTAAGGGTATCACTGCATCACCATCGTGCATTATGATACAAGGATTTCCTCAACAATCTTTTCTTGATGAGCTTCGGAATAGCGTGAGGACAGCATTTAAAACTTCATCACTTCAGCAAAGCATAGATAAGCGATACTCTATTCAAACGGCGCATGTTACTGTGGTTCGATTCACAAAATCTTTCACAGCAAAAGAAGAATTTATAAAAGTGCTCGAAGATTTTAAAGATTATAATTTTGGTACGGCAACAATAAGCGAGATGGAACTAGTTCACAACGACTGGTATCAGAGAGAGAAGTTTGTGAAAACATTATTTTGTTTCAAAGTTTAGCACTAGAATCAATCAATATTATCTTTAATAAACTTCCCATGCTCAACAGTTCAATAAATAGAAGGTATCTCCTACTGCTCTGCATTGCATGAGTGGAGGCAAAATATCAAAGCCTACCCTGAAGTCAGTCTTTATCCACTCCTTCTCAATATCTTTTGTTAAATAGACTAAAGTTTGTAGATTAAGGGTATGGATGTGGGTGTGGTGAGGATGTGGGTGGGTGTGGATGAAGAGAAGAACGACACCCACAGCCACACCGACACCCAAAACGGATGACAGAAATCTTTAAAAAATTTTGGAAAAAAACGAGATGCCAAGGAAAAATTGTTGCCTTTTTTTAGAAGATCACATCGGGGGGTACCTTTCCATGCTTTTGTCTTAATTTCGACCCTTTTGACAGAGAGTAACATTTTTTGAGAGGGAAATCTTAAACCATGACTTTTCAAGGGACAAATAAGAAAAGAAGTGAAGGTGAAGTAACCGCTCAAAAATGAGTCATACTTGAAAGTACGGCGCTAAAATCTCTGTGCCACTCTCCGCCTCTCGACAGATAGTATACATATATTTCGGTCTTCCGCTCATTTTACACAGACACTTACCACACTCAATTTCAGAGACAATTCGATCGGACACGAAGAAATTCAAGGTATGCGACGATCTTTGAATCCTAATTTAGTTTCTTTAAAGTTATGATGAATACAATCACAAAGCAAATCTTTTTTTTTTTGAGAAAAATATAAATAATATGTGAACATTCTGTTTTTGCACTCGATGATGCAATATGACACCTTATCAATGGATGATATTCAAACGGAAGTTTATGGTTTCATTTAGTATCTTTGAATTTCATGTAAATAGATTTTGGGTTCATAACCATGATGACCAATGGATGGAAAAAGACGTCAGGATATGATTACTAATTTATTTTTATATTCTTTATGTAGAAAACCAAATAAGTAATGAAGGTTTTTTTAAGAAACATATATGTATTTTATGAATTTCAATTATTCGTTTTTCTTTTAAATATCGACCATCACTTAATGTTGCGAATAATATTTCGATATCTTTTATCAAATAGCGATCATTACACAAGTCTCATTGAGTCCTATCGAAGATTTGAAAATTGATAAGCATTGTTTATTGATCCTTTCAAAAATAGTGGAAGGAACACAAATAGATTGCCACCGACCATAAGTGTCAAATAAATGCAGTGAAGAACATGATTTGTGTTGATATTGATTAATGACCAGGACGATTTTGTAATGCATGCAGTACTTTCGTAAATTATGATTATGAGAATAATCAATACTTTGTTTTGTTTTATTTTGTGATTTATTCTATATCATGAATTTATTGAATCGTATTTTCTTCTTTCAGATGCAAAGAGTCATGCATTGATACAATCAAATCTATCATGAATGAAATGTAATTTGCTTGTTTTTTCTGACTATTGATTTTCATCATTTATACATGTAAGATGTTTATTGAAAGGGAAAACACAAACGATTTTAATTGAACATTAAACAATAAAGAAACATTTATAAGCAGAGTATTAGTTAAGTTAACAAAACTAGTTTTGAACAAATTCGTCTTTTATGGATCTTTGTTTAACTATGTTATATATTGAGGTGAAGAAAATTTTAACATACGTTTCGACTAAAAAAAAATTTTCAATTCAAAATATAGGCTCTGATTTTCGAAAACACTGAAAATCTTTGCTTGATTTTCTTTACTCATAGATGAAGCGATAAAATGCAAGATAAACAAGTAATTTGATTTTTCTTACTCGTCCTTTTTTCATTAATGTACTAACAATAGGACATTTGCTTATCGGTATCTAGGTATACAAAGTAAAAGAATGTCAATAGAAAAGATTTAGATGCTTCGTCATGTGTCGTTCTTCGCGCTTCATGTTTCATTACATTGAGAATTAATCTTCTTTTACTAAAGTTTGCACAGAATAGAAATAGAAAAAAACAGTATTTTAGACATATATTTAAATAGATACTATATTGTAAATAATATTTCTATGTCTAAATATTAAAAACTATTCCTGATGAGAAATTCGATGCTTTCATTTCTACAAATATGTCAAATCTATTTGAAAAAAAAAATTCTAAAATAAATTACGAGTAGTAGTATCAACTGAATTAAGTTTATTAACATTCAAGAAAGCTTCAAAACTGTTGGAAATAAATTCGAAACTATTGAGTGATGGGAAGAATATTTTTGATATGGACAAAAATCTAACCTAAAAATTTTCATCAATGTAAAAGTAAAAAACGAAGCGGCGTAACACTGCGTACAGTAATATTTTGTCAGAGAGTAAATAAAAGAACGCAATGAAATACTTTCTTCTTTTCTTCCACGTAGTTGAAGATTACAATGACGTATGGGACAGAAAAAACGCTTTTTTTTTCTCCCTCCATTCAGGGGTGTCCGATAAAAAAACCAATGATGTTAGGTAGTTCCCAACACATATCCTGATTGAAATACTATAAAAATGAAACTCATCATCATCATTTCATTATTACTTTATTGAACTATATCAATATGGCTTCTAGTGACATTATTCAAACTAGAGACTTTGCTGAACAATCTTATGTACATAGTGGTTGCTCCTCTGTAAGTAAGATAGAAAAACAGAAAATAATTCTCACTTCAAAAACAGATATTCCAAAACAAGCAGCTATTATTGAAAAAAAGAAATATTCATTAAATGAATCAGAAACAATACGAGAAGTTCGAATTCGTAGTCTTTCTCATTGGTCACATTTTACACCAAGTAGTAAATCAATGGCATCTGCTGGTTGGTTTTCATGTAATGTTAATGATCGAGTTATTTGTATATATTGTAATACAATTTGTCATCAATGGACAATTAATGATGATCCAGCTGAAGTTCATACAAGAATTGCTCCACAATGTCCATTTGTTCTTTCAATGCCTTCGAAAAATAATTTACCAAAAATAATTAATGATCAACTTGAGGAAAAATTTCAGCCATCTCATCCACAAATGGCTGAAATATCTCGTCGAGAAGCAACGTTTTCTAATAGTAATTGGAAAGAAAATTCACCAAGTATTGAAAGTTTAGTTCGTGCTGGATTCTTTTTTGCTGGTACTGATAATTCAGTAACATGTTTTTATTGTAATGGTTCATTACATAAATGGGGTCCAAATGATAATCCTATGATTGAACATGCTCGATGGTTTCCTCATTGTACGTATGCTAAACATTTATGTGGAAATCAATTATATCAAAGAATTCAAACATCGAAAAAAAAACTAATTTTATCAGAAAATAAAATTGATAAAGATCAACTTACTCGTTTAGTTAAATCAAGACTTGATTTACCTATAGTTGAACGTCTTCGTTCTCAATATCCATTAGCAATAATTAAACGTTGCATCGAAGATCAATTCAAAATCAAAAATGATGATTTTCAAACAGATATTGATTTAACAATGGCTTGTTCGATTCTTCAAAAACAAATTGATATTATTCAAGGTTCTTCAGATAATATAATAATTCCATCACAATATCAACAATTGTTAGATAGTTCATCTCAATCATTAAAACAATCATTAGGTGAATGCTTTATATGTCTTACTGAAGAAAAACAATTAGCATGTATGCCTTGTGGACATTTATGTGCTTGTGTTCCATGTGGATATGCACTTCGTTCATGTCCAATCTGTAGACAAAAAATTCAATGTTTTATGAGAATTAGTTCTTAACTTTTCTTGTAAAATTTTAGTCAATTTCTTGTGCAATAGCTTTGTAGTATTTTTAAATAGATATCATAAATACGCAATTCTCAAAGCCGTTATTGTATGATTAACAAATCGAATTACCACTTCTTTCGCTTTATTTTTGATTGAAAAATGTTCAGACAATAAAATCTATTAATATTAAATTGTGGTAGCTGTAGTCTAGAGTCTTCCATTACTTATATAATTCATTCTATGTTCTAATCTCGGAAGTAACATTAATATCGAATGTATTTTTTTTTTAGAGAAAGAAAATTTCCAATAAGTTTTGCAATTGAATATCAGTAGATTTAACAGCTGTCGAAACACAAATTCAGTGGAATACTTCATTCTCACACAAACATATGTTGTCTTACAATGACATAGTAGCAGCTATTAGATTTTCTGTCAATCGATATAATAAAATTGTCAGTCATAATCGTGCTAGCTATGATGATATTCTTTATGTAACGAAGACAGTATTGTCTCGAGACGAAAGAAGAAATGAAAAGAAAACAATTCCTAATGTAACAAGAACGATGACATATATTTAAATATATATGTGCAGTGACATCATAGAATATTTCACAGAATGAAAAGAATCTACCTATCAAATGAGCAGAAATGCAGCAACAGAAAGATTTCAATATAGACTAAAATAATACTAAGAAAAGTCATCAGAAGAATGTGGGTCGTTATATCACAATGGATATGAAGTGATACATTATTGGATACTATCGTAACATTAAATGACGCATGTGATATTAATTTTATATCAAAGTTATTTCATGTAATACTTACTGTTGGTATACCAATTGGTATAATGTACGCTATAACGACGATTTTTTTTTGAAAATGTTGTAACATTCTGAATTTTATCAAAATGAATGTCTACTTTTGAAATGTATTAAAACTAACAGAATTGAGTCGTTGTCGAGACATTCTAATAATGTTGATGCATCTGAGCTACTTTTCGATTATAGGTAAGAAACATTTCCTATTATCATTTACAGCTGAAACTGAAAGTCGTAAGCATTATCAGCGGTACTGAATGTTTTTCGCATCTATTATGTTCACCAAAACAATTGAAAGTCCATATTTCTATCTAATGTTTAACTAACTTCTGTATGAAGACTTACGAGATCATTTTCAACAATACAGATTTTAACTTTATTCATCTGAATTTAGTTAAATAACAAAAAGAAAAAAATATATAAATATGTCAATCTATAAATAATTTAACGAATCCATAATCGAATTGCAGATAATTCACTTTCATCTCTAACGATCAAACAATTTAATGGTAAGCGATCTTTTAACCATTGAATAAATTCATCTTCTATTAATAATGATTCATTACTATCACCCCATCGATCATCTTGACATTGAAAAGTTAATGCACGAAGATTAGGCATTTTTTCAATTAAATCAAGAACGATTGATCGATTTTCAATATTAATTAATAAAACTTCACATTGAATACCTAATAATGATTGAATTAATGAAATACATTCTAAACCATAAAAATGTCCATCATTAGCTATTAAATCAAGTCGACGAATTGATTTATTTGTAATTTGTACTAATGATAATTGTGATATAATTAAATAATCCATTGTTATTGAATAAAGATGAATAGCTCGATTAAGTAGTAAACGAAGTTGATTTATTGGTCGATCACTTTCATCTGGATGAATAATTGAGATTAATTCAATTGATATTAAACGATCAAATCTTGGTATAATTGACCAAAGAACATCATCAAAAGGAAATGATAATTCAAGATGATAAATATTTGAAAATTGAATTGGAAATTGTGATGCAAATCTTAATAAATAATAATCAAGAATAAGTGTATTAACATAGTTTGATGTATTATATTTTTTATCAATTGTACAAGTAGATGTTGACATATTACTTGTAAGATTATAAAATTTTTCAAATCCATAAGGTAAAGTATAAAGATAAACAAATCCATATTCAGTATCCGAATCACATCGAACAAACCATTGATGTTCATGAAGCCAAAATTGTGTTTGAAATGATTCAACTAATTGATCAATTTCTTCATTTATATTTTTTTCAAGTTCAATTTTATAGGACATTAATAATCTAAATACTTTTAAATTATATAAATTATTAATAATAATTTGTTCCCATTGATATCCATCAATATAAATACCATTTGTTTCAATTATTAATTCCGATATATTAGGCATAATTTGTAAAAGATGTTTTAATGTATCAAATGAACCTTTAAAATAAAGTTTTAGTTTAGACAATGAAGGAAAAATAAATGAAAATTGTTCATTATTAGATGTATCTTGAATTCTTAAATTAACATTTTTTATATTAGGTGTATGTTGAAATAAACAAATCAAATCATTAATATTAAATGAATCATTTGCAATAGAAAGATTTTCAAGAGATACTGAAATTATTGTTGGTAATGGAATATAATAATCATTAAAAAATGATATATCTAAATAACAATATTTTAAATTTTTTAAATTCCAAATATTATTTACACAAATTTGAGCTTTATCGATATTATCATCGAAATTACATTTACTAATTTTAAGATAAATTAAATGAGAACAATCATATATAATATTATTAATTAAATCTGTTGAACGAATATAATATAATGAAAGTGATTGTAATTTTGTAAATTGTTGAAAATGAAAACCATATGACAAAAATAAATTTGGTTGTTCAGGAGTATCATCATCATTTGAAAGATGAATTGACGTTATTTGATTTGTTATGAAAGGAAGATTTTTTTGGCAAATACTATTAAAATCTTGCTTAGATATAGATCGAAAATCAAGTGGATAAGTTTGTAAATGCCGATAAATAAGTTCATTCAAGCGAATATTTAAACCATGGAATGTATGAAGAAGTTGAATAGTATTAAAATATTCAAATATATCAAGTAATAACTCATTAGCTAATGATTCAAAATTCATAGTTTGTTTCTTTAATATTAAATTTAAAATAAAAATAAAATCTTTCGTAAGCAATTGATTTTTCTATATTATCGTTCTTATCGATCCATGATGAAATAATATTGGACGATTGTTTGAATCAATGAAAATATGTACATTTGATCGCGAATGATGGTGCTAGTGTCTTGTGTTTAGAAAATAGACAAACACTGTTTACAACGAAATGCTTGTGATTTAATGTCATTATCGTCAAAGATGTGAACTAAAAATAATTATTAATTGTTATACTATCAACGCAGATATATTCTGGTTACCATTACCAATAGGTGGTGAGTGAAATCCCTTGCAAATAACTAGGTAAGTGGCTGCAGATAGGAGTCTTTTATTCATTCTGTATCCATCTGTGTATAAATACGTCGATATACAGTCATACCACACCCACCGTTCTTCAGCAATATAGTACTCTAAACTTATCGAACAACTTTTCCGAGCTTTTAATAGTGAAAATTGATGAGTTTTCCCAAAGTGTCCATGTTATTAAGAGTCGACTTTCATGAGAAAGAAACATCTTATCGCGCTAGATAGAACTCATCAAGAGATAGAAAATGGAAAACAAATATTTCTGGATATATTCTTCCCTTGATGGTTTCGCCGAACATCACATCTTCACAATAATATAGTAAGTAGTTGTGTAGAAGAACTGTATCCCGATTATATCGACTTAAAACATGTTCTTATAGTACAGGTATACAACAGGAACACAAAATTGGGTTACAAATTAGATAAATCAATACCAGCTGTGGAAAAAGATTTTCGAAAAGTGCCCACGTATGAGCAATGGACATAATACATTGGCTCTCACATTATAAGCGGCTGCTTGCAAAAAAATATATTCGTCTATGGAAGAGCTTGAATACATCATTTTATATATCGCTTTGAAGACGATTTTTGCATGAAAGTGCACACATTCGAATACAAGACTTTATGGTTGGCTTTCGGATTGATAAGATTATTTTATTAGTGAAAGTCAGATGGTTCCATTCATCTGTCTGCCTTATTGTGGAACCCGCAAACAGAAGAGAACTAGATGAATTTTATATTTACGTTCGAATGGACTTGTCTGAGACCTTTCCGCTTGAAAATGATTTATTTGTGTTCGAATTGTGAACTAAAGAACTATTCTGAGAAATCTATATTGAATAGTTCTCTAAAGTTTACCAAAGAACCATAGTGCAAAGGGTAGAATTTGATTTTTTTCAAGAATCATTTTTGGTTGTTTCAAGCATTACATAAATAGTTCACATGAAAAAAGCTCGCTACAGTCTCGTAGAATAGAGATGGTATTATAGTAACGTATATATTCAAAATATGTCATTTTCCTAGAATAGAATTCTTCCATAGTGTTTAGAAAATATTCACACCAGCGTATTTTCTACCATTTTGATTTGATACCTCATTCTAAGAAACCTCTGTTGCTACCCAGGTCAAAACATCGCTATTGCATTCTGTTGGGCGTGTCTCAATCCGATGAAATCTGAAGAACTGTTTCTACACGACTTAGTTATCCGTATCTAGTCAGTTTCATCCTTTTCTGAACACTTAGTCGTCAAGTCTTGTGACTGAGGCAGCTGTTGAATATGTCTTAGAATTTTGTAAAGACCCATGTGACTGTTTTAAGTTTTTTTCGTCTTGCAAAATAAAAACTGCTTCAGCAACGTGAGTCTTTTGAAAAGTTTATTCTGTGTAAAAATAAAGTAAACTAACTTCTTTTCTGTGAAAATAAACTATCTAATTAAAAAAACTAGTAGTGTAACCAAGAAGGCTAAGCCCTCTGCATGCTGCTCAAATTCCGGTCAGTTAAACTCTATTAACAAGCCACCTTTGCCAGATAGCGCCCGGCCATCAAGTTTCCCATTCGAGAGCATGGTTATGTTCAATTCTTTCACTACCAAAACTTTGCTTACATCATTAAGACAAATTTAGGTAAACAATATTGTTGCTGTTTCTGTCCAGTCACAATTGAAAATTTTTAATATTAAT